CTTAGAAAACATCATAAAATTTATTAATTTTTAATAACATATTTTTAAAATATTTAAAAATGATTTTAATTTATTAAATAAAATTGCCTACAAATTTATAGGCAAAATAGTTAAAGGGATAATCATACATATACTATTTAGGAGACGTGTTGGTATTAAATTGTAAAATAATATCCGGATTTAAAATTCCTTCGGAAAATTTGAATAGATTTTGTGTGTTGGTGGGAGGTGGTATTCAAGGCCACCCAATTTTTCAATATTCATGCCTTTCATCGAAACTATTTTTTGATACATTAAAGTGCTTCTGTATAAAAAAATTTGATTTAGATGAATGGTTTAAATAATTTATTTTATTAATATATATAAGATTTACATATTACGTTCATTAATTTCGACATGCTATAAATGTATTTGGTACAGCATCAGTCAATCGCTGACTAATCATAACCGTTCCACCCACTTGTAAAATAATTATATAATTATTCCTTAATGGTATTCATCTTATCTTTATAAGACTCTTTCCTTACACCCTTTTCACCGCCTTTATTTCTGTTATTAACAACATTATTATTTCCAACTAATTTACCAGTCTTTACCCAACCTTCATAAGCTTGATATCTCCCCTTAGCTGCACCGCTACTAACATATTGACTTGAACCAACCGCTTGTAATATAGCATATTTTCTAGGAATTTCAAGATAATCTCCATATACCTTTTCATCTACTGAATCTACTTTCAAATCGGTTATTGGATTTGTAAGGTTGGCACGAAGACAAAAGCTTGCATAATGAGGATATTCCGAATTACTTTTTAATGAAGGATCGTTGTCTCCATTTGGTGTTGATGTTAAAGTCATATTCTTATTTTGATTTATATATCTATTGCAAAAAAAAAAGATCGAAAATTAATCCTATCGATTGAAGAATTTATGATTACAAACTATAATTCGTTAACTTACTGTATGTATTCTCTGGCCTCATTTGATGATACATTTGGATTTAAGCTTTTTGATACCATTGATTCCATAATAGTTGATGGATTGTCCTTTTTTGATACCGTCGATTCTATCGATGACGGATTATCCTTTCCTATACTTGTCATTCCTTGATCTTTCTCTTTCTCTTCAACATCTTTTGGCTTGGTATTCGGTAACGCAAGCCATTTTTTAACACCTCCGATATTCATCAATCTATTAATTAATCAACATAATTATCATCAGGTCGGCAGATTATAATTACTTTTGTAGGAAAACTTACCTCGTGGCCTGTTGAGTAACACGAACAGTAAACGGGCTATAATCATAAGCTCCAAGCTCAGCACTGTAAATAATAATATGAAATATTCATTAACAGAAATTGTCATCATATAATAATCGAAACTAGCGATAGTATTAGAATATACATTGCGGGTATATATTTCGTTGTGCTATTCATGTTGTATGCGAATAGTTTTTCGAATGAAGTAAACAATCTTGGACGATAATATTCGATCCAATATCCAGAATATGGATCTGTCTCGTCGTCAAATTGATGATCTAATCGTGAGACAGGCTGATATTTTGTGATATCAGGTTGCTCATCTTTTGGCTCAAGAACATCTTTTGTCCACCAATTTATATAACTTCATAATAGAATAAAAAATTTTTGTTAAATAATAAATAAATAAATAAATAAATAATAATAATCGTTCAAAGCATCGTTTTACCTTCTAGGTGGTCTTTTAAAACGTGGATCCTCATTATGCAAATAATAATCATTTGGTAGTTCCCATAAATTTGGAAGCCCTTTCTGTGGAACAAAATTTCCAAGGAAAAGATTCATTGCATCCTGCTTTTCAGCATCTACACGAAATAACAATAGCGTATATACTTAAAATTAATATTGACCATACAAGCTTTTATGAATTTACACATACCAGCAAATGCATTGTTATAATATCTCCTTAGATTCTCAATCAAATCTCTAGAGTGACTTGTCCATTGATTTATTTTACGATATGAGTCTATTGTATTAACCAAATTTGATCCACCATACTGCAACGCAATGGTATCTCCGTGGTCATGGTACATATCTGTCAACATATTCAGGACATCGGAATCTACCGGGACCCGAGGCTCATCGATAATTCCCAGGGCATATAACTATAAGTGACAACAAGAAAAAGTTAATAGACATAAAAACAAAAGTCTTTACGACAATATTCAAAAAAGATGCAAGTACTTGATGTCCTAAAGCACATTTTCCAATTATTAGCTGGGCGGCGTTTGTACGATCCAGACAATCAATGCAATTTGTCCTAACAACCCCGCTTTGTCGAAGAAACATTCTTCGTGTTTGAGGCTTTCCATTTC